GTCAACGCAGAGTAACCTTGTGCGTGTGCGACCAGATGTGCGCCTTCGGGACGAGGCAGCGGCGTGCGGGCGAAACAAGGGAGTCGCCGAGAAGCGGGCGCAGAATGAGAACCAAGGACGGAGGGAAGGAGGATCCAGGAAATTACGGGTACAGGCAGATGCAATGAAGCGTCCACACTATACAATAGATAAGATCAAAAAGATATAAGTAAGGATTATTAAGAGTGAAAATGGAGGTGGTAGAAGAAAAGGAAGGACCAAGGGTCAATGCGAAAGGAAGGGTACGTAGGGAAAGGAAAGTAAGGCAAAGAAAGAAGTTGGTTTAAGTCCGAAGGGGAAGTAGACACAAGGAAAATGGGAAAAGGGCAATTGGATGAAGGGGGGAAGTTGGAAATGGTGGAAGGGGAGATGGGGGGAAAGGAAGAGAAGGGAAGGGGGGAAATGAGGGAGTGATTCAAGGCAGAGAGTGCCAGTTGTTGATGTTGTTGTTGTTGGTCAACGAGACGAGAGCGACTCGTTCGTTGGGCGGGGGAAGGAGAGGAGGGAGGGAGGGAGGAGGGAGAGAGGGACGGATGGACGAGAGTCAGTCACCCTAACCAGTAGTAACCTAACTACCTCACTTAACTCACTCACTACTCTTCCTCACTACTAATCTTGGGGTACCCTGAGTTAGTGTAGTTAGTACTAAGAGTCGTGAGGAACGAGGGAGACACCAGAAAGGAACTAACTAGCTAAAGAAAAGGGAGCCCACCTCGGCAGGGGAATTAATTATTCTTCGGGGCACCGTTTGCCTCAGGTTCCCCCTCCGGCCAGCACCGACCGTCAAACAACAGTACCTCTCTCTGTCCTCTGTCTCTGTATCTCTTCTCTCTTGTCTCTTCTTAAACTACTAAACAGTCGCAGCTGTGCCTGTGCCAGGATGGTAAAGTTCCCCAAAACTAACAGCAAATAATTCCAAGAATTATTGTGGGCAGCAGAGCCAAAACAAATGGTGCCTGAAGCATTAATTGATCGGATACGTAATGGCAATGCTGGCCGATTGGGAGAGGGGGAGCCGATCTTGGGATCTGGCATTTATTGATTGTTTGACTTGACACCACCATACATATACATACATACATACAAAGAGAAGCCCATATCGGAATAGGGATATGGGACAAGTCACGATCTACCGGACCAGGGATCTGTCATCAGCTAGCTTCCCTTGGAACCAGACAAGCAACATTGAAGGTTATTCAGATGTCCACAAAGTACAAAGTAAACCAACTACTGGAGAGGGAACTAAGTAAGCCCTCCCGCACACGCGTAGCGAACAACAACCCATTTTAAGTTGCAAGGGTGTGACCTGCCCGATGATCACCACCACCATCGCATTCCCGCTCACTGCTTAAACCAGTCGGGCGGGTTCCCCTCCCCAAAAACCATCCCATCCACGGTACCCGGCATCAACAAGAAGAGGTACCCGTACCACAACTTTTGCAGATTCGGTAATACTACCTCGAGATAGCCTTTCAGCAGGGTGAGGCTGGCCTGTTTGCTAGGTTTGCATGGATGCCTTTTTTTTTCTCCCCTTCCCAGTCACCTGATGCCGATCGGGACTTATTTAAGGTCATGTGATCTGTAAGCCGAGCAGAACACTACTCTGTACTCAGCTGTAGTTGCTCGCGCGTCTTTACAAAGTACATTGGGAAAGAAGAAAAGCAAAATAGACAGACTTAGTTTCAGCTGAATGCACAGCCCCAATGCTCAAATGCTGTGTCTATTGTCACCTCGATCTGTCAATCTGCAGGTCCTGCAATGTCGCACGTAGGGGATGAACCACGTGTCAATCACATCGGATGACGCATCATTCCAGAAACCCTCTCTCTCACCGAGAAAGGGTGAGCTGTTCATTAGGTACCGGCTGTGAGGCGCTAGTTAAGATGTCAGATGGACGAAAGGACGAGAAGGAATAATAAAAAGAAAGTTTGACTCGGCTGAGTTTGTGCAACTTCGATAGCATTGAATCTTATTGTGTGCCCCTTGCTCCCTTTGTACTCGGTTGCCAAGACCGTTGGAGAATCCAATCCTAAGATTCGAGTACGATTTATTGATCTTCCACTCGAGTACTTAACTTCATGAATGTAATGCTACTTGGGCATAAGTTCATGCAGCGGTGCCCATGTAGTTTTGCTATGTGTCACGGTACTATGCAGTACTTGCATTATCCAGTTCGTTAAGTGGTACGCAAATCCATGGATTCTGCGTAGGGAACTAAAGCAAGGCAATCCGAGAGAAGATACAAGGATTTGAAAGTGCAATGATATTGCTATGTATCATGTCTTGTACCAAAGTTGTACTTGCCTTTGATATTATATATTATGTTAGCAGTTTCGACATTGGTCTTCTGAAGGCCCAGGATTACTGTTCCGCACTATATAAAATAGTACGTGGGTCAAGTTATTCCGTAGTATCAAAACAGATTCAAGAATTTCAAGCGATAAGCCTTGGCTGATCAAAAGCCGTAGATAATTATGATGAAATCTACTGGACACAGATTTAGGGAATCGCGCAGGGTAATGTCTCTGGGGAATCGAGCCAGGCAACAATGTAATGAACCATGGTAATACTTATCTTTGTCCACAGCGAAGCCGAAGGAGTCCGACGGTTTTATTTTCTCTGCCATCACAGCTTGTGAGACCTCTGGTATATGGATCCACACACCCTCTCTCTCGAGTGGAGCTGATCTTATTCACTATATTCTCTTCCCCAGACCACAGTTGTAATCTGCTCCGCCTCTTCTATCGCGGTCTAAGTCTGTGCGTGTGGGTATTGGGTTGTGTAGAACTTCGGTTGGAAATGAGTGTTCAAGGGTGCTGGTAGAGTTGATGCCAAGCACAGTATAGCAGTCGTGAGTCGTTCTCTAGGCTAAAGTATGGATAAAGGAAAAATTATCGGTCACTTAATACTTGGTTGGGGCTGTGTGCGCTGACCGTGGAGTAAGTCCAGGCGTTCTTTATACGAAATGGCAAGGTTCATGGAGGAGCTCAAGCTCCCATATTCCAAGAGATGAAGCTCATATCGGTCTTGTTATTCTTGCTTCTGTGATTCAAACTGGCGAGCATGGGTTCCTGGTCATTCTCTCTAGGTTTGATACGTAGTAATAATACCATTGGCCGATACTGACGGCTGCGCCTGGGTATTGCCTGATATATCTTTCTAATGTAGTCATATGAATCCTTCATCCTGCCCCTCTCCCCCGCACTACTATTCGCTGTCCTAAGTTACTGATTTAGCTACTGATAATATCCACTACTAATCCTGGGGGCCATTATCTTTCCTTATAAGGTCAGCCTTGCTAAGCCTTGCTGGGCGCCACATTGACTGTTAAGGCTATTTTGGGGTTTTCTGAAACCGGAATAGGACTGAGTAAGCTTAGTATATCTCAAAGATAACCTGATAAAGATTAAGCGACACAAGAGCCACGAATTCGAAGGGGCAGGAAAGCCGAAAAGAGTCAAGACACAGAATGGGCGGGGCGGCGAGATGAAGCCGGATGGATAAAAAAAAAAGAAATTAGATCCGAATGTGGGTTGAAGTCTGACTTTGAGTCCTTATCAGTGGATAAATCCCCGAGGCACTTGTCATCTGGCGGGCAAATCATATATCCATTCCCCAGCTGACCACGTACGTATCTAGATTGGTACGCAGTGGGCCATGGTTCTTCGTGTTCGTTCGCCTGCCCACTGGTGCATGTCTGTTTCAAATGTCTCATGGCCATTCTCTTATCCACCGTGTTCGGGACGTGCGAGACAATGTGGCCGATCCGGGGTGACAGTTTTTGGCAATCCAACCGAATAAACTTGGAAACCGTCGAACGTTGGGTTTCGAAAGAAGGCTGTGACATGCGAACCATGGCGGACTAGCGTCGCAGCTGCGTGGGCATATTTGGCCAGAGATATTAGTGGTGCCCACGTACGCGCAATGGCCCCCGCGACGTCATCCCGTCAAGGGGCAAAAGTTGACCGCCACCAATGGTCCATGGTTTATGCACAGCCAAGTTGAGGCATGGAAGGGCGGGCGATCTCACCTTCTTTATACGAGGGGGAGAACGAGACGGGGACAAGGGATGAGGAAAGATACCGAGAGTGCTATAAGCGGTAAGTTGTAATTAATTATGGTATGTCTCAAAGTAACCTAAAGAGTAAAGACAAGATGTCGTGCTTCCAGTCTAAACTTGGCGGCTGCCAAGCTTCCCCGCTAAGAGCCCGCTAAGGAAGAAAGTGGTTCCCTTAAGGTTTGCGATTGTCTGAGGGGACTCTCCATTCACCAACAGCCTATGACAGCCTCTTCCATTCCATCCCCCCCTTAGTAGTCTTCATCTTTGGGGAGCCAAACGATAGCAACAATTTTAACGCGTGGCCGCTCAGTGGGGGTTACGGTTACGCCCCACTCCCTCCATTGCCGCGCCACAACAAAAGACTGACTGACTGAAAGATTCGCTGTGCCTGAGCGGGCGAAACAGAAGCTGGCAGATGGGGGCTGGAATTGGAAACATTCGATGGACCTTCCTCCCACGCCTACTAAGTCTAAGTCTAAGTCTACCACTACTCGTCTTAGTGACTATTTTAGTCCCAAAGTCACTAAAAAGTACCTACTTAATTCTACTTACTACTGCACCTACCGCCTTGGTAGTAGGCAGACGAATAGGTTAATCAATGCTCCTCCAGTCTCCTTTCCTGATTACCTCGCCTTGACCCCTCTCGTCCGTCTTCTCTCTCTCCTTCTCTCTCGTCCTCTATCTTTCGCAATATGCTTCACATATAGCCCCTCCAATACCCTCCTTTTTTTCCCTACTTAATTCCTCCCCCCTCTTTTCCTTCCTTTGGATTCTTCCTCATCGGATTGACCCTCCTTTTAATGCTTGAAAATTATCCTCTCCGTCTTGCATCTTTATCGGTCTTTCCCGACTCAAGTCATTCCTTACACCAAGCTGTATTGTGACAACATCTACCTTCATCAACCTCCAATTCTGTCACCCCCATAAGAGAATAACGGCGTTCAAGCTGTATTACATTGATTACGGCCTTACGATAATATACCTCGTTGGCTTTTCAACCAAATTCTTTGGATAAAGTCCCGAGTCGTGCACAGAAGCTACCGACTTTCAGCTATCCACCATGAGATGGGGCGCTCGCATAGCACTATGTGCTAGTTTAGCACTCATCTTGCCCTTATATCTCTTAAAGATCCACCTGGAGGACCTCTGCGATCAGTATCGCGCGGGCGCATACCTGATCAATTGGCTGGATTTGCGCCCGCCGATGAACAGACTAAATGGCTCCCGTCCTGTCACACCAGGGGATAAAGTGATTGTGATGGCCAAGCTACAGGAAGAACACACTGAATGGGTCGAGGAGGAGCTACCCGAGTGAGTGTCATTGTCCTCCTATATGACCCATATGTTTCAGCGCACTGACAGCTTCTCTCCTCCAAAGCTGGCAACGAGCCATATACATCGTGAATCCCTCCAAAAAGGTCGCAGCTGACGACACGACACTTACAACCCCGCTGAACAAGGGTCACGAGTCCATGGCTTATCTCACCTATCTAATTGATCATTACGACAACCTACCATCTACAATCGCTTTTCTTCATTCTCATCGATCGGGTTTCCTGATGGCCTGGCATGTAGATGCGCCCTTACACGATAATGTCATTGCGATGAAATCCTTACGTCTCAATTTCGTTCAAGATAATGGCTACGTCAACCTCCGCTGCAACTGGAACCCAGGGTGCAAGCAGGGCCATCGCACCAACCAGCACGTGACAGAAGAAGTCTTTGCAGAGATCTTCGAGGGCACAAGCACCCCGCCATTAAACTCCACCGGAGGCCTCACGATGCAAGATGAATACGATGAGGCTAAATACCAGAAGTTCCTGCAAATGCCGAAACAGATTGGCGCGGCGTGTTGTGCGCAATTCGCCGTGTCACGGGAGCAGGTCCACCAACGACCACGAGATGACTACATCAAGATCCGCCAGTGGATCATTGATACAGACAAGAATGATGCCAGTAGCGGTCGTGTCATGGAATTCCTCTGGCACGTCATATTCGGCAAAGAATCAATATAGTACGTTGCCTTTGCATCGCTTCCCCCCCTGAATGCATCTTGACCACTAACATTCCGCTACTCACAGCTGTCCCGACGAAGAAGTCTGCTACTGTCAAGTTTATGGACAATGTTGATCATTGTACGCATACCGTTAACGTTTCTGCTTTTCACCAAAAATACCCACGGCTTCTACTTGTATATATTACGATAGCTTCCTTCTTTCGGCGCTCTCTTGCTTGGTTCTCTCTTTCTATCTTCTTTCGACATATTATCCCATTTGGAGATTTATTTTTTACCGTTCGTTTTTCAAAACCAGTTCTTGTGGATAATTACCGGCGACAATATGTTCTACAGGGATATTACAAACAGCGTGGCGTTGTTTACAGGGACTGCTCGGTTCAAGTTGACTTAAGTTGACGCACTCGTCCCCTCCATTTCTTTTCGGCGAAGAAGCCTGGACTCCTATCGTTAACGGCGAATCTGGTTGGATATTTTACGATCGTTTCAATACTATTAATCCGAACTTGGAAATACGTGCACCTGCTGCACTAGTGAAATCTTTTCTGGGGATTGAAAGACCTCGGTAACCGAATTCTAAGCGGCTTGTTCTTGGAAAAGTGCTCGGACCAGATATGGTTCATATGATTATGTCTCTACTGTTACTCTGCGATTTGATGGCATCCCGGAAGTCCTATACTTTAAATGGGACAAAACAGTTACATCGCCTAGGAAGCGTTTCCATTCATGTTCTCGTTGAAGGATTCCTATCTCGACATCCAACCGACTATTAATTACAAGCTCATGCTATCACATAACGACAGCCACCATTAGGGGGTGTTGAATAGCGGATCAAACAAGTGCATACCATTGCTACTGCTCCAAAAACTCCTCTACCCGCTCAATAAGATCCGCTTTCTTACCGGCATTTGAGCGTCCATTGGAGGCCAAGAAATCTTTCAGGATGGCGACCGTAAGCTAGAAAACCCGCTGGTTAGTATAATGTCATAGATATCATCATGGGACCATGTAGGACGCTTGTGCTGGCTTACCTTAGATAGCGTCCCCTTCTCGTGATGCTTGCGGACCTCTTCCTCCAGGTTTCCGGAGCCCTCCTCGACCTTGACTTTCTTCGATGGTTTGGAGTCTTCGGTTTCGCTTGCTCGGTCTTTCGATCCTCTTTTCACGAGGGTGCTTGTTGGGTGAGGGGCCGCTGTTGAGGTTTTGGCGTGTTGTTTTTCGAGTTCCTCGGCCCAGGATAAGACGTAGTCGCCGGCGCGCTGGAGTTGAGTTGTTAGTTAGGTGAACGTTGGAAGAGTATTTCCTTGTGTTGGGTATGGTGGATGTACCTTGTCGATTTGGCGGTATTTGGGGATGGTTTTGTCTTCTGGCTTTTCAGGGAGGTCTTCGTCTAATGCGAGAGCTTGTAGGATGCGGTAATGCCATTGAAGGGCTGATCACGGGTTGTCAGCTTCTCTTTGATACTATACGAGCAGTGGATGGTAGAGTTGACTTACATGGATTGGGGTATCTGAGAGGCTCGTACACCCCCTTCGGCAGCTGCAATTGTTGAACGACCACGCGCATCTGATCAATCAATGGCTCCGGCGCGACATTCAACGTAGTTTCAGGGTTTTGCCGGATATCGTCTGCGAACGGGAGAGGAAGAATCCACATGCCGGGAGGATATTTTTGTACGCCATTCTCATCCAGCTTTTCTTCGCCTGCGATCATCGCGGCGAGGACGGGGCCAGCACCCTTGCGGGCAATGAACCAGACCAGTGCCATCTTCTTGTTACGCAAAAGCGTCTGGTGCAATGCAGAAAATACTCGCGAGGAGCCTACATAGTCTTCCTCGGATGGATAGATAAAGTATGGGTGTTTGACGTTCGCCCAAAATGGAAGCGCAGTGATAGGCTTGAACCCTATAACTCTGATCACTGGCTCACCAAAGTCCCTGAGCGCCTTCTGTTCATCAGGCGAAAAGGTTACTTGGTCTCCACCGAATTTGTATGCCTTTCTAATCTCCCATTTCTCGACATTACGGCCGGTATCATCTGCTGAGTGGGTAGTCACTCCTTTCGCGACCACAGGCTTCTCGCCATTCAGCCAGATGAAGGAATTTCTAGCGGGCGCTTGCCTTCGTAAGAGTATATAGCCCGATACCGAGATCTTGAAGTCTGGTCCGAGTTCTAAAGGCATGTTCGAGAAATGAGTGCGACGCGGGACCGTTCTTGAGTTGATACTAGATAGAAGCGTATTGAGAAGTGAAATCCCGTCCCCGGTCGCTGTCGCCGCCTTTGCATCCGTTTGTAGATACGCAGGCGCCTCTGGATCGTTGGGTGATGACTTGTAGATGATATCCTTTGCATATGGAGTGAGTATGAGCTCTGCCAAATCGTCATAAGGTTATGATGGCTTACGTCATAGAACTTGCTGTTCTTGAACTCGTGTTCAGGACGTGAGATCGGAAACAGCTCAATGGTGACACCAAGATCGTAAAGATCCTTAGCACGTACGGTCGCGGCCGACCGTAGGGTTTTATCATCACCATGGGGGTTGTCATTGTCGGTTATGATGAACAAGCGCCGGGAGAGGAAATTTGGCGCTCTGGATGTGAATATCTGGTTGGCGCAGAATAGGACGTTTGCCATAGAGACTTGCTCTTTCGCCGGAGCTAGAATATCCCTTGAGTCTCCATCATCATCCACCAGCGCTCGAAGTTCTTTGACCTCCTGGGCCGAAGGAACATCCAGGTCAGTGAAGAGGTAGCAGTTGGGGTAGGAGAGGTCTCCGCGACTGTCTTCATCTTCTTCGAAGAACTTGGATGCCTGCGTCCCAAACAGCAAAACCCCCATCATGTCTTGTGGATTGGATATGATTCGTTGTTGCATAAAGTGATAAGCGCATTTGAGCGCTGCCGTAGTGGGTGATTCTTGGGTGTGTTTCTTAGGGTCTGCTGAGGGACGAGGCGTCAACATGGAATCGCTGACATCGATTGCGAAGAGGACCGCATCTTTGACTGATCTATAGCTCTAGTCTCATCGTCAGTTGCAGACTTTCAGTCCAGGCTCATGGGTAGGATGTGCGTACAGTCTCATCAATCTCCTCCTCTTCCTCAGCCGCTTCATCTTCGCGATGTGGGTTACCGTCCGCCATACTGATTGTGGTAGGGTGGGTTGAAGGTATTCAAAGTAGTATTGAAATGAAGAAAGAGAAGTATAAATGTTGAACATAAGTTGCATTCGAAATCAGGAACAAGTGGGGCTGTTGTGTCTGCCTGTTTGGCCTCTGCTGCCTGCAGCCGAGGGGAGATCTAGTAGTCGTATCTATATCGTCACTGGATCCCGTCGCGACGGACGCGATAAAACTGGTGGGCAGAAAGACGCGGGGAGACACGAACATCATGTGATGCCTGCCCGGTAATTGATGACGCTAGGTGGCCGGTCATTGGCTGTCGGGGGTCGGAGTTAGTGCTGGTATCGATGCTCCGTCATCAAGCCGTTCTGGACTTTTCAGCTTTCAGAAGGCCTTGCGCTGTTGTATACACCCACTACCCCTTCTTGCCACTCGTCTATCAATTGATTATTTGATGCAGGCCTGAATTGTTCATCCACTTGCGCGATACGAACGGTTTTTCCTTGTACCTCCTTTGACTAGCTTACCCGATCCTACAATTACCTGTCATGGCTCTCCGCCGCCCGTTTACTCTTCCCCGGCAATTGCTGCGACCGGCATCTCGCACCCTGTTCGGATACAGGCAGGAACAAAGATGTGGACTGGCGACAACGGTACCTCCAGTTACCCAGGATGCAACAGGCTCTAAGGGCCCTACGGCCATGGTCTTCCTCAACATGGGAGGGCCCTCGACGACAGACGAAGTAGAGGATTTCCTCAGCCGGCTCTTTGTACGTCTCCGACCATGGCAAGCTGTCATTTTGGCTGCAACATTTCTAACAATCTACTTTTAATAAAGGCCGACGGCGATTTGATTCCTCTAGGCAGGTTCCAGAATTACCTCGGGCCTCTCATTTCGAAGCGACGCACACCAAAGATCCAAAAACAGTACGCGGACATCGGCGGAGGCTCACCCATCAGAAAATGGTCGGAATACCAATGCGAAGAAATGTGCAAGCTGTTGGACAAGATCAACCCGGAGACTGCGCCTCACAAGCCGTATGTCGCCTTCCGTTACGCCAACCCGCTGACGGAACAAATGTACACACAATTGCTGGAAGATGGTTTCGGCAATGGCAAGGGCGGTCGTGCGGTCGCATTTTCGCAATACCCCCAATATTCCTGCTCTACTACGGGTAGCTCTCTGAATGAGCTGTGGAAATGGAGGAATCGGCTGGAGGGCAAGCGAGCAAACGGAAACGTGGACACTTCCGGAGCCATCCAGTGGAGCGTTATCGACAGATGGCCTACGCACCCTGGCCTTGTGGAGGCGTTTGCGAGAAACATTGAGGACCAACTCAAAACCTATCCGGAAGATAAGAGGAATGGAGTGGTTCTCTTGTTCTCGGCCCACAGTTTGCCCATGAGTGTTGTGAACAGAGGTGAGTCCTTGAGGAACCTGTCACGAAGTCCCGGTGGCTAACCGAGTATTTTCTCTTTTAGGTGATCCCTACCCAGCTGAGGTCGCTGCAACTGTGCATGCGGTCATGCAAAGACTCAATTTCAGCAACCCTTACCGCCTCTGTTGGCAGTCTCAGGTTGGACCAAAGGCTTGGCTGGGGGCGCAGACTAGCGATACCGTTCAAGAGTATGTGAAGCGTGGACAGACTGACATTGTCCTCGTACCAATCGCCTTCACCAGCGACCACATCGAGACTCTGTATGAGCTGGATCTCGAAGTCATGGAAGAGGCGAACCACCCGGGTGTCAAGCGGGCCGAAAGTCTGAACGGCAGCCCTGTATTCATCCAAGCCCTTGCAGATCTTGCTCAAGAGCACTTGCACAAGGGAGAGAAATGCTCGCTGCAAATGACGCTGCGTTGTCAAGGCTGCAAGAGTGAGAGGTGCTTGGAGCAAAAGAAGTTTTTCGCTGGTGAACAGGGAGCGTCCTTGGTAGTATAACAACCAGGCACTAGAGTTTCATTTCTTTTTACAAGGGTTTTGTTCTTTGATGTGTGTATGTGAAGGCGTTCTCTGTACGATAGTCTGTGTGTCTATACAAGCAATAAGCAACGAGCTACAACCATTTAGTTTACGATTTCGGCAAATTCCTCATATGGGCGAATAGGCTTTCCTCAGTGGCAGGATCACCGTCGCACCAGTGTCTTGACTCCTGGCAGTTCCTATGGGGAGTTTCTGGAACTGGGAAGGGGTACACTTTGAACCTAAGTACTACTTGTAGTCGACAGCGTGGAGTGATGTAAGTGGCCCGAGGCGGCGGGTAGTCCAGGGCGTTATCGCCGAGCTGACTTGCCTTGCTTCTGAGATTTCTGAGACTTGCATACCCGGGGCTGATCCCCAAGAAATGGGCCTGAACCGTGAAACATCTCCCACGATCACCACCCACCACCAGTCATGGCCATCCTAGGCTGGAATTCTAGAATCACGTCACCACTACCTATTTCTTAAGATACTAACATGCGCTGGCATGTGTTGAATCCCATGCTGACCTGTCGTGTGTTTCATGCCGATTGATAAGCGAACTGCTCGGAGTTTAACTTAGTAAACGGACTACCGTTTATCTCGTCTCCTTGCCGGCTTTCCCCCCGCCCGGTTTTCTCAAATGTTTTGAGCCCACCTCAGGTGTTGTACTGTTTCAACCCCAGAGCAAGCAAATGTAGGCACCAGCCTAGTTGCTCTACCCATTATTCTGCTGCTAAGGTGCGAAACCGCTCGCACCATGTCCACAATCAGGCGCGGCGCATCGCCGACTGCGCATACCGAGGTTGGTCCGGGATTGCAAGCCGGACTGGACGCTTCTGCGCCAATTGATACCGGACTGGAGAACGAGCGAACCCCTCTATTGGAACAAGACAACGAAGAGTCGCTACCGGAGCATGACCATCGGGCTGACCCATCAAATGATGATCCCGTCGGCCAGGGAGGTTTCTGGCAGACATGGAGACGGCCAAGCGTGAGTCTCCATCAACAATGGACAATGGTCGTGCCCGCGACGTCTGACACGTAACAGATCCTTTGGATTCTTCCATTTCTTGTCTTCTATATGCTAGGTATCGGCGGCACTGCAGTGCCCAAAATCAACCTGATGATGTCTCTCATTTGCAGGGACTATATGGCGAACAAGGCGACCCAGGACCCGGGTTTCACGTATCTGCCTGTCATCATTGGAAATAAGAATTCGCAGTGTCAGACACCCGAAGTCCAGTCGTTGCTTGCTCAGTTCCAGTTGTATTTCAATCTCCTGGCCGGGATACTATCGGCGCTGGCATGCCCCAGACTCGGTCACCTATCAGATCGCTACGGTAGGACAAAGATACTGGCCCTCAACGCACTGGGGACCATTTTGGCGGAGGCTATCTTTGTCTTTGTCTCAGCCAAGCCAGATCTTGTGTCTGTGCATGTGCTTCTACTGGCTGCCATCGTGGATGGCGTCTGTGGTTCTTTCACCACCATTATGGCGCTGACAATGTCGTATGCCTCCGACTGCACCATCCCATCGAAGCGGAGTGCAGCATTCGGGTATGTATACGGCTCTCTTTTCGCTGGGACCGCAGCTGGGCCTCTGCTGGCGGCTATCTTGATTAAGAAAACAGGCCAGGCACTGAGTACCTTTGAGGCCTCGTTGGCCCTGAATGTTCTCTACCTCATTGCAGTCATGACCATCATCCCGGAATCATTATCGACAGACCAGCAGCGGCAAGCGCGGGACAGTCATCGAAGAAAAGTCATCGACGAAGGGGAGGCAGGCTGGCTGAGCCTGGAGAACCTCAACCCCAAACGGCTAATTACACCTTTGGCTGTTTTGCTACCGCCAGTAGGACGTCCCAGCACGCTTTTCCCCAATCGTCACGGCGCGACCCCGGCTTTGCGCAGAAATATCATTCTTCTTACAGCGATGGATACCATTGCATTCGGGGTAGCGTTGGGAACCGCTCAAGTGATCATCATTTATGCCGAGTACAAATTTGACTGGGGCAATGTGGAATCAAGCCTCTTCATATCGATTATAAGCATCGCCCGGGTCGTCAACCTTTTCGTTGTATATCCGATCATCATCGCAATCTTCCGTGAACCACAGAAACCAGATCACATCGTTCCCGGCGCCAGCACCTGCGAGATTGTTCTTATACGACTTTCGCTTTTCCTAGACATGATTGGCTATGTGGGTTTTGCAATGTCATATCACGGCTCCATCATGGTATTCTCGGGAATCGTCATGGCACTTGGCGGCATGGGGATACCGACGATGCAATCATCTCTTACGAAACATGTCCCTCGAGAACGGTTAGGTCAGATCCTTGGCACGAAAGGACTCTTGCATGCTCTGGCTCGAGTAATCTCTCCAACGGCTTGCAGCCTCCTTTACAGCCTGACAGTTGGAAAGTTCACCCCAGCGGTATTTGTTGTCCTTGGGGGCTTGTTCTTCCTCACCTTCTGTACCAGTTTTTTCATCAAACCACATGGTACGTGACCCACCTTTCTCATTGTCCATGAATGTCTGCTAACGACTCTGTACCTGACAGTTACTCTTGACGACTCTTACCCAAGTAGTCCTCGAGATGAGGCTAACGACGAAGGCTTCGTGGCGGATTCTATCCTCTAGTGATGCTAGAAGTGGAGCCTAGCAGTTACTATACTGCACGAGACCGCTGATCTGGATCACGTTTATACTGATCTTCGTGACAATTGGCGTATAGAATTGTTCAATAATATACGTAGTCATTGGGTACCAATTTAGACATTCGATAGAATTCGTCAAAGGACCATCGTAGCATGATTCCATGGAGTAGTTGTCACAGTACGGGATAGTATGAGAAAAGGCCGGGTACCTAAAGGATGTTAGTAAGACGAGTGGGCACACCGGGAAAAGACCGGATGCGGTACGGCGGGCGGTAGCGACCAACTCGACCAAGCTGGTGCAAACTTTCCGACCGACAAGCTCCGAATCCCTCCTACTCCATCATAGAACTCCAATTGTCTCAATTGACCAGCCGGCGCGGGGTTCCTGACGGTTCCTCTGTCATTGAATCCTCGTAGCCTTCTTTTTCACTTAATGATTTAGTGGTGATCCGACCCAGCCCGCTGTCAGCGGTGCGCAAGGCTAACCACCATGGTCTCCAAACCCACCAGCGGCACACCAGCTGTGCCATCACGAAATGCCCTACGAGTCCTTCGTCGATTGGCTCTTGCAGGATCGACTGTGGGAAGCTTTTGCACGGTTGCAGCCATTACCTACGACGTCCATCGTCGGGTGCGCGTTGCGGAACGAATTGTCGAAAACAAGCGGGCCTTGCAAACCTCAGCCCCGAACTACGATGCAACATCTGCAGCAAGGAGACTAGCACGTATGATGGAGGCGGCTGAGGCAGGAGAGTTTATGGGCTTGGAATCACTAAAGGAGCAAGATCGGAAGTTCAGAGAAGCGCAAGCTGTCCCAGCTGGGGTGGACGTTCGTGGTGACGACTTGAGCTGGGATGTCCAGCTGCAAGACCAACAACCTTCTGCCCCTGCGGAGACTTATATGGATACTGCACGCTCAAAATTGATTGACACCTTTACTCCCGGACAAGCACCAGCCAATTCGACCTCAGCTCCCAATCTCCCTCCGAACCTAACCCGATCAACCGATGCACTGGACCGAGCAAAACCCGCCCTCGCCAATGCGAAACAAAGAACAACCGAAGGTCATGAGAAACAAACAGAAGATGTAGCTCAATGGCATGATTCAGTCACAGAAGAAATGCAAAAGTTTCTTGACCACGGTCGCCCTATTGATGCCGCCCACTTGTTTTTGGACGCCCACCCCGCGACGTTGAACGGCATATCTACAGATAGACGGGAGGTTACGGTAAAGACATTTTATGCAAATTGCAGAGAAGAAAACGTCATGGTTGCTAGGAATATTTTTGAACGCCTAGAAGACGTGGACAAAGTGTCTCCTGGCATGTGGAAAGTTTTGATGTTTGCGCTAGCGAGAAAGGGGAGCATCGAATCCGTCGCCACTATTTTTACTCGATACATGCACAAATTCAAAGTGCCCCCGGAAATGGTCGATATCGTGCTCCGATGTTTACTAGAGTCTCATCGACTTACCACGGCGAAATGGTTTCTTCTGCGAAACCTCGAGGTTGATCGTGGCTGCGGCTTATGCGGCGCCTATCTCGCCGGGCTTTGGAAGAAGACAAGGAGTATCGAGCTTTTGAACGGGCAATTGAAGAAAATCCTAACCATCCTTCCTCGCTTGGGAAAGGAACCCACCGACAAGCTCTTTAACCCCGTGATCAAAGCATACGTGGAATTCGGTCGGTTGGCTGATGCGGAAGCACTGGTTAAAGACATGACGACTAGATACGGCATTCCACTTCGCTGCCGAACAAAGGGTCTTTTGGTATTTGGAAGGGCTCTGGCCTGTGACTGGGAGGGAGTGGACGCTGGGTTACAGCAGATGCATGAGCTTAAGTTGACCTCGAGGAAGTATGACTTTACGCCGATATTTGACCGCATCTTCCTGGAATACTGGGTATCACATTCCGGTGAAGAGATCCGCGAGTTTGTCTACCGTTATATCGAGAAGTTCCAGATGGTTCCCGACAAAATTCTTTACAAGCACATTCTGGAGGCATTCGTGGAAAAGGGTAATAAAGAAATGGTTGATGAATTTGTGCGGTTCGCACGTGAGCGCCGTTGGCCGAACTTCATCAATGAGCAGGAATTCTTGGAAATGCTCCGAAAACGTCGACACGCTCTTGAGGAAGCACCAGTGGGATTCTGGCAGATGCTGCAGGCAGCTCGGGCGAAGTATGGACAAGCTGCCACATCGCAACAAGTGCTTGGATATGATCAGCGGTCGTTCCCACTTGCCGAAGTCAACCTGATGCCGTACACGCAGGACCCGTTACCGTGGTACCAACGAACGCTGCAACACATGACTCCCTCGAGGCCAGTTGACCAATACCAAAAGCTCCACAAGCAGATGTCTCATTACATGCATGTCGGTAAGCTGACGGAGGCGTTAAAATGCTTTGAAAATGCCAAAAACGCGCGGTTCCAATTCAAGCAGTTGCATGTTGAACTCGCAGTCATCTGCACTCTGCTTGAAGAGGGTGTCGGTGCTGCTCGTGCTTTGATCGATTCCGAGTGGAAGAATATTCGCCACTTGGTTCGCTTCTTCCCTCAGTTCTTCCGCCAGATCATGGAGGTCGACTCTGAGGCTGAAGGCCAGCTGATCAATATGGCCGTGCTTCGCTTCTATGAGCTGTGCTGGTCAAACAAGAAGATGACAGTTAAGCACCACATCACGGTAGCGACCAGCAGAAGGTTGATCGCAGTGAAGAAGCCTGAGTTGGCCGTGGATCTGCTGGCTACTGTCTACATGTCCCGCTTCCGGCACTCGTTGGCATATGATGGTGTCTGCATGAAAATGTTCATACGTGCGTTTGCCGCGACTGGTAATCTGCATGGCATGCGGTGGTGCATCTTGACCGCTCTGGCCCGAGGAAGCGCACTTAACCGTGACTTTGTCATCGAAGCCCGCCGGGTCACTGGAAACCTGCAACGTCAGCTAAGCTCGGCCGAAGGATCTAAGGATGCGTCACGGGACATGGAAAAGATCGAGTATCTGACGCATGCCGTTGAACTGCTGGAGAAGAAGAGCCAGGGCGATCCCCAGCTGTGGCAGCTCAAGACCAACCCGACGGTGAAAAAGGCCGGTCGCCGGCTACTCAAGCGCCCTCTCGATGAACGGCGTCTGTACAAGAAGGCCCATCTTCAGGAAACGATTGAGGGCTGGGATGAGGAATATGAGTTGGAGGCCGTGCTGGGCCGTATTGACATTGACCCGAAGTCGATTGCGCTTCGATGGAGCGAGAAGCACTGTCTGGGGCAAATTCGTGAAATTGATGATCTGCTGTGAGTTCGGGTTAGCATTTGTTCTATATCACTTCCACTATTGTTGTTATTATGTTTGTATTTCCGGCTGTGTGCTTGTGTATATATCCCATGCTGCCATATTCAATACTGTGTATAACTACTTGTTATCTTATCCTGCAATTGGATTTATATGTATTATCCTGCAACACTCAAGTGCAGTTTGCATTTAAGAGCATCTCAAATGTATACCCTTGCAATCAATCATCATTCCTACGGTAATATATTCTCAAAGACACTGTCTGCGCAGACTCATCAAGACCGTCAGGAACAGTCAACGCGCGTGGTTCAGTAATAATCACCATTGTGTGTGGACTAATTATAGATAAGCCCTGTTTCACTTTCTCTTGGCTTCGTATTCGACATGAGTTGCTGTCCACCATCCCAGGATAAAAATAGCTTCAGAATTATGCTAGTATGGACCCTAGTGGGTCAAAGCTGGGTACAAAGCATTCTGGCTCTGAAGCATCCTCTAGTATCTGTGATTCCCGAACCACGCCCTTCCAGTGACACGCTGAACTTCCGATAATAAAAGCCCGAAAGCTGTTTATTCTGTTCGCCACAACCACCCCCTCCCCCAACCCTCATCATGGCTCAGAACAACTTGACTGGCGCCTGTCTTTGCAGGAACATCACATATCGCATTACCCTGCCAGATCCAGAGACATACCCAAAGGTACTATTCCCCAAATCAACTATTCACAATCACATAATCTACTAAGTCCATCACTAACAAATACCAGCTAATCATCTGCCACTGCACCCACTGCAAACGCTACACGGGCTCGAGCTTCTCCGCCAATATTATCATCCCACAGGCTAGTTTCGAGTACACGAAGGGTACACCCAAGCTGTATACGGACAGCAGCAAAAGGGGTGTACAGGTACTACGCGAGTTCTGTCCTGATTGCGGAACACCGTTCACGTCACGGTCGAGTGATGATGAGGAAGTTGTTGCGGTGAAGTCGGGGACGCTTGATGAGGAGTATCGGGTTAAGTGCTCGGAGTTGGAAATGGAGATATATTATCATCGGAAGGATGGGTGGGTGGATGGGTTGGGAGGTGAGGAGGTGAAGAGGGTGGATGGGAGTATGGGGGATTCATAGAGAGGATGCCATTGTAGTCATCGCGATACTGATCGGTGATCTCGCCTTCCAGCAGTATCAGAAAACAGGACTAGAGATATGAGATAAGGCACTAATGCACGCGGAAAGCAACGGGCTTGCTGTTTGGAGAGCTTGTCTTTCAATGTTCTCATCTACAATATATTATGCTAATGCAGGCCATTGGTTACCAGCCTCTGGCTAGTCACTATCCTTAGCACTAGCGCTGTTATCAACCCATATACCCATGTCTATGGCGCGAACACAAGGGGGTCAATGGGACTATATCAACAAATGATGCTGCCTAGCACCTCACACCCTCTCGGCTAGCCATTTGCTCCTCCCATCATTGCATCATGGCTGCATCCGAGCTCAAGCAATGGATAGCCGCAGCTGCCCCAACCGAAAGCAGACTTGAGCAGCTTCAACATCAATATGCTGGATACTGTCATGCACTTATGCCACACCTGACCGATACAAAGAAAATCCCAGTGACCCTCTATGAGTTTCTTGCAGCGAAACCCAATATGTCCGAGTACATCCGACTTGTGGACCAAGTCCCTCAGATCAAACAATTATTGCAAAACAAGGATTATTCATCCACTGTCTGGGTCCCAAGCAACACTGCACTGCAGCAACTGAGCAATGAAGTCTCAGATGAAGATGTTCTGGCTCTCCTTCAAAGACACATTTCGCCATCATTTCTTCCAATATATTTCCTTCTAACAGCCCCAACAATCGACACACTATTCTACCCTGACCGATTAAATGGTACCCAGAGGAAAACAGTCCGTCCTTCACTCAACGGCTTTCGCGTGAACTCCCAAGCAACTGTGATCGAACAGGATCATCTGGTGGCAAACGGTCTGGTCCATGTAATCGACCAGGTTCTCCCACCGCGACCCACCATTGTAGCTTTTCTTGCTGCTCTCCCACCATCCGATTTTGACCTGTTCCAGTCTGCATTGAAGCAGTCTGAAGCTATTCAGAATATTCTCCAGGATGAATCTCGTCGCGGCGGAACCGTGTTCATCCCTACCAACGAAGCTTTCCGCAAGCTGCCCGAGGATGTCCTGACATACCTATTTAGCGATGAAGGGGCTGCATCTCTTCAGACTTTGCTGAGATATCATGTCATTGTGAATCAATCATTGTACTCGAACCGTCTCTACGATCAGGACTCTGCGCCAGAGCATTTCATACAGACGCCAGAAGCTACACCCGATCATACGATTCCTACGCCTGAGAATCAGGGGGATCGCTTGTGGCGTGTGCTCAAGGGAGTTCGTCGCTTTCCCTTGCCTACGTGCTTGGATGGGCAACATCTAACGGTTGCTGTGACCCGATGTGGGGGCTTGATTTCAATGATGGTCAATAGAATTGCAAATGTGACCGTACAGGATGGTTTGGCTAGTGATGGAGTATGTCATGTTGTGGATTCGGTTCTGTTTCCACCGCTGCAGGACGAGGATGCAGAAGTCCAGCCGGTACTTTCTGTCGAAGATGTGAAGTCGAGACTGGCATAGTTTGGCTTTCCATGGCAGCTGCGTCTGATACTGTTATAAATGTGACTTTGTCCTGAGTGTGCCCTAGGTTGTTTCAATCGCATTAATACTTATAACTCTCGAACGCTTACTGCCTTCTTCCTACGTTCATCTAAAGTGAATGGCTCATTTATATACTGTGCGTGCCGCTAGTATTTTCTTTGGCAATTGCTACATAACATATCCAGGTCTACAGCCCTCCATCTTGAATGTCTATTCCGTAATACTACACGAACCCTGATCTATATTTCTACGCCATTCCACCAAGCAAAACACCCTCTAATCCCATCACTCCGCAACCTCAATAATCAACTTAGTACAACTCACCCCTCGACTCAACTCATCCAACCCATCACTAACAGCCTGCAACCCCCTCCCAACAACCCTCAGCTCCGGACTCGGCCTGATATTCCCATTAGCCAGATTCTCCCTCGCCCACGTCCCCATCCAATACCAAAACTGATCCAACCTCTTCTCCTCATCATCCATCGCCGGCATCACAAAGATAACTTTCACCCCATCCAGCACCTCCACATCAGAAGGAACAACAGGCGCGGACGCAATCTTCGCCATCACATTCTCATCCCCTTCAACATTCCCCACAAAAGCCCCCAGCACAGCCTGACACATCCGCACATCCCCTACCGCAAGAAAACAATACCGAATCACACAATCAGCCTCTCTAGCATTCTTAACAATTTCATCCACAACATTCGGGTCCCTATGATCAAATACACGATCCGCACCCAACGACCGCACATACTCATGATTCGTCGCCCCAGCAGTAGCATACACAGCAGCAATCGAAGACCCGGGCTGATCCCGAAGCACTCGGGCAACTTGCACACCCATTGAACCAACGCTAGAGGATGCGCCCCAGACCAACAGTACCTCCCTCTTCTTCCCAGTCTGACCATTAATGCCATCATTGGTCTGCGTGTCACACACCAGCTGCAAACCGATACTCTCCCACGCATTAAGCGCTACCTGTACAGCAACAGGCAACACAGCCGCCTCATTCCACGAGATCATCACCTCTTTATCCGGAAGCGGCACAATATGCTGCCACGGAACAAGACACTTCTTCTGAAAAGCGCCATAGTCCGGATCGGAGCCCTTCCAGACGGAGGCGGAGTAGGCGGCGATGCGGGTGATTCCTGGATGGAAATGTTTGGGGACGTTGGTGCCGACTTCCAGGACTAGACCTGATAGGTCGAAGCCAGTGACGGTAGGGTAAGAAGGGATGAAGAGGCCTGTGTCGCGCATGATGGCGTCTGCGGGGTTGAGGGCGACGGATTTGACGGCGATGAGGAGGTCGTTGGGGCCTGGGGTGGGGGTTGGGCGGGTGGTTAGGGTGAGGGTGGAGGATTTGGAGGGGAGAAGGGCAGCGAGGTGGGTGGGCATTTTCTTTTTATGTAGTCGTAGTAGTGTATGACTGCTTTGGTGGTGAAGTATAAAGCCTTTAAAGGGGTAGAAGTTGTAGAGTGAATGGTCTGGATGGCAGGTTTCTTGGTGTCTCGAACGGATTCCAAGTTGTATGTCTGTGAAGGAGTTAGAAATATAATTATTGGGAGAAATCCTGAGCAACACTCCCCTTTTATATCAGAAAATATGTATCATGGCATGTCAATCGTCTCTAGATGCATACTATAGTTGATCCTGTGGAGGCAAGCGGCAGCCAATCAGCGGTGTCTGCATCCGAGTGCGGGTTTAGCGTTGAGATGCAAGATCCGAGACACGGTTAGCTTATGACTAAATGCAGGTATTGGGGGCCATGACCACCACTCGCCCCAAATCCTTCCAGCATTCAATTCCCTTCAATTACAATGACCTTGACCTTGACTGACTCCCGAGAATCACGGGAAGGTCCAGAAAAGACACGGCGAAGATCACGATTCGGGTGCCGCAATTGCAAGCTGCGGAAACTGAAGGTGGGTGCCCCTAGCACCTCGTAGATAAACCATCCCTACTGATCCATATCATGTAGTGCGACGAAAGCAAACCACAATGCAAGCGATGTAATTCATTTGGGGTAGTTTGCAACTTCCTATCATCTACCACCCCCTACCTCCACCCCATTTCCGCTGACTCGCAACGGTCATGGATGGTTCGAGGTACAGCATCAGCAGCGGGACTGCAGCCTCCTCTCAGCAATGCGATTTGGACCTCAGACGCATCGACCTTGTTTCAACTAAACACCAGATGCCAAGACTTCATCACCCGGTATCTAGGGCGCAGCCTCATCACCCCCAATGATCCCAACATGGGACAAGTAAATCGCAAGCTCCTTGAACTAGCCTTCACCGTAAGTCGACCCATCCATCACAAGTCTAGTTTAAGATACTAATGACCAAATTCTAGCATCCCTACCTAATGCACGCCTCACTAGCAGTATCACTCACCTACGACCGCCACCTAAACAGCCCCTCCGACAGCCACCGCACTCTAGAAGAATGCTACCACTGGTCACAAAGCACCATCCTCTTCAATAAGAAGCTTCGCGAATCCATAGAACCCAACGACAGAGATCCCATCTGGGGCACAGCAGCCGCGCTAGTAATTCTGACCTTTTCATCACCTAACGCACGCACCCCGGAAGAATCATGGCCTCTGAACCCCTCCCCTTCCTCCTATCTGGACTGGGTGCATATGAACAAAGGGAAAATGTCCTTTTGGAATATAGTCAATCCGCTGCGATCAGATAGTATCTTTCATGTTATGGCGGGGACGTTTGCCTATGTGCATTCGCCGTTACCGGAAGGGGGTACAGAGGGCATACCTCCTGCTTTAGCGGCGCTGTGTGGTATCACGGATGATTCTACGGCGGAAACAAATCCGTATTTCCACGCTGCTCATGCGGTAGCGCAGATCTTGGAGGTTGAGGATAGTGAGGTGACGATGGGTCCGGTGCAGATGTTTATGCGGTGTATTCAGGGTGGGTTTGAGGGGTTGTTGAGGGATAGGGATCCTGTTGCGTTGGTGTTGCTGTACCTATGGTATAGAAAAGCTGGACGTTGTATTTGGTGGATTGGGCTGAGGACGAGGGTGGAGTGTCCTGCTATTTGGATGTATTTGCGGCGGTATCATGGGAGAGATGAGGCTGTGATGGAGTTGCTTCCAGAGGGTGGAAAACTCCTTGTGGACTAGATCTGTACTATAGCTATCTCGCACCCTCTATATCAACTAACCCACCAACAGCACAACCTCACTCAGTCATTCATCTCATCCCCCAACCTCCCTCCCCTCCCACCCTCCAAATCCCTACAAAGATACCAATACTCCAACCAAAACTCCCGCGCAGCACTATAATCCGGCAAATACCGTCTCAACAACCCCTTCCACTCCCTATCCTCCTCACCATCAGGAACCGAAGTGGCGACATATTCCCACCAAACAGGAAAATACCCAGCCGTCTCCCAACCAATAATCCCAGTGAGTTCACCATCCTCCACCATAATATTCCCCATCGTCAGATCCCCATGCGTAAACGTATACGGCATAGCAGTCGGCATGCGCTGTCGCAGCCGTACCCTCGCAGCCTCCGGAATCCTCTCATCCAACCCACGCTCCATCTCAGCCCAAAGCTCGTCATCAGATGCAAAGAGACCACGGGGAATCTCAATCTCACCAGAGGAGCTACTAGAATCATTCTTGAACAGGAAGTTGGAATATACCGGACGGCCACCGAGACATTGGATTTTATCGGACTGGAGAGATCGGAGTTGGTGGAGATACGAGGCCACTTGCTTTGCTATGGTTTCTTTTTCGTTGGGGGGTTAGTTCTGACCAGACGTTGCTTAAGGGTTCGCCGGGGGTGCGTTGCATTGAGGTGAGGGTGTGTTTATCTTCTTCACCCTCCTCCCAGGATTCGATGATAGTGGGGACGGGGATACAGGTCCGGTCTTGCACGAAGTGGATGTTTGGGACCTCGGAGGTTGGATGGTTGGGACCGCGGTCTTCCAGGATTACCTTTGAGCCGAGGGAGCAGATGCCTCGGTCGCCTGATTCGTAGAAGGGTTTGAGGTGGCTTTTGTAGTTGCAGTGGTTTTGGCGTTCGGGGGTCCAGCTGCATGCTGTGCAGGGGGTGGAGGTGGAGCTCATGGTGGGTGGTGAGAATAACAGTTTGATCAGAGTTAGCATGACAATCTCGATGAGAGGAAGGGAACTTGCTTATTATATATAGATCCATGTCACCGATTAGGGACTAAACTTCAACTTCTTGTCTTCTTTTCTCCCCAATTTCTCGTATGAAAGAAAATAGAATAAATCCTTGACTATGGAGTGACAAGCTTTCGGTCCAAGTGGATTCATTCAGGAAATCCGGGAATAACCTTAAGCAGAAGAAGAAATGATTGTTAGGATTGAAGCTATGTCGTAACAGTAGTTGAGCAGTGTCTGATTGGAGCAGTATTAACCTTAGACGTGTCCAATTGATGGATACAGCCGCATATGAAGATATTAGCGCAGATATATCAATTCACAATGATACAATAATAACCTCGCACGCTACATATTTCGCTCTGGTTATTGGTCCTGCGAAATTAACACATCCATACTGTAATTCACCGGATTAGTATAGCTCCAGAATTGTTCTCTGGGCATTTATTTGTATTTGAGGCGATATAAAGTTGGAAGTCGAGATGTATCAGTGTGTTCACCAGACGGGGGTTGCAAAGCTATGATAGGTGGGTTTAGTTGTGATGGTAATGGCGTATGAGGGAATATGGCACTAGTGAAGAGCAGTGCATTTAGGTGACAATGAATGCTAGCGCCTAGTCTATTAGTTATTCCTTGATAAGAAAGACACTCCTAATAACAGAAATTAACTGGGGAAACATATGGCCTTTTTATTCCCACTGAACCAACCCCCTGAGGTAGTATAACACCAATTCAACGAACATCTAGCCCGACCACTTTACCTACTCCCAGCAACACTGTCTCTACACCCATATCCCACAAAATCATCAACAATAGTATCCAAAATGACCACCTTTCCAACCTCCCCCTTCCACCTCCGCCCCGCCAAACCCACTCCCACCGACCACGCCTTCATCCTGTCCGCCTTCGACTCCTCCCTCCCCTTCCTGGCCTCCATCGGCAGTCTCGACCAATGGGGCAAGACCCCCTTCTCCCAGCGAGGGGACTTCGCCGAAGCAACCCTAAAAGAACTGAATTACTCCGAAGAGCTCCGCCTCACAGGGACTAGCGGCTTGGATAGTAACCTCCGTATGTTCATCGCCGAGCGAGAATTACACCAGCAGCAGCACGATGATGGACAGCTTCAAGCTGAGTTCGTTCGAGTGACACCCGATGGACGACGCTTCTTACCCGTTGGAGTTGCGTATGTGCGCGAAAACTGGGTGCCGAATTATGTGAAGACGCAGACTCATCTTCCGATGCCAGATGTTAACCATGGTGGTGGAGGGTTTCTTTACCTTGAGGTTATGGTGACGGATAATCGGGAAGATCGGAGGGAACTGTCTCGCGGGGCCGGAGCGGCGCTTATCAGGGGGATTCGGGAGTATGGAGAGGCCAGAGGGATGAGGGCGTTGTGGGTGGATGGATGGGCGGGGAATGAGAGGATATTGATCAGGTTCGTTTATCTCTATTTTCTATATCATTCTTTTCATCATTTTGTGCAGTTTATCAGAATTGGGGGTGTTAACATGGATGTCTTTGATAGGTACTATGAACAGCAAGGGTTCCGGGCTGTCGGGGAGTGGAGCCATATGAGGTCGAACAATGTGCCGTGGCTGGGAACGTTGATGTGCATGGAGATCTAGCTGTAGTTAAGATGGTTGTCTCTCTTCGTTAAGCTAACCATAATATCTTATCTGAACCAATGATTACAACTAGTATCTAACAGCACTGATTGTCTTGTTAACCCCGCACAGCTGCATCTGGTTCTCTCCCCGCCTCGCATCCACGGTCGGAAAGCTTGCAGGTCATGCGATGATGACCACGGATACTATCTACTTGTCTTTCAATGCGAGCCAACTGCAAGAGACGTGGCCCAAGCTTCCAGGCCAGCTTAGCACCGCCTTGCCCCATTAGGGCAATGTTTCCATGGCCCAAGCAGCACCACTGCATGAATCCGGGTGGAGACGGTTCCCTGGCCCGATCCCCGCCTTCCATCCGATCTGCTTGACGGTCTTATCATTCCTGCACCTCAACGGTTGTGTTGGCCTGTTTGAGTATCCATCATCCATGATCGGCTCGGCCACGGATTTGTTGCCGTTGCTGGTCCGGCCAGTCTGGCCGGCCACTGCCCTCACCAGCTGTCAATAATAGCTGGACCTTCCGCCAGGGACTGCTCACAATATGTATGACAGATTATCTGTTCAACTTCAACGGATGAACCTGCAATTTACAACAAAATAGAGAAGATGGCAGCGACACAACAACGTGTGGTCATCATAGGAGCAGGGATTGTGGGCGCCAATCTCGCCGATGAATTGGTCACTCGGGGATGGCAGGACATCACTGTCGTCGAGCAGGGCCCGTTGAACCTGCCGGGCGGCTCAACCTCCCACGCCCCCGGACTGGTGTTCCAGACCAATGGTTCGAAGACGATGACTCGTCTTGCGCAATATACGGTCGACAAACTGCGATCACTAAGTGATGAGAATGGCATGCCGTGCTTCAATTCAATAGGAGGTCTCGAGGTGGCCACGACACCGGCCCGAGTTGAAGAACTGAAGCGCAAGTTCGGCTATGCGAAGTCCTGGGGTGTTGAAGCGCGTCTTCTGACAAAGGAAGAGTGTTTGGAGAAGTATCCCCTGCTTAACAAGGATCTCGTACTCGCTGGTCTTCACACTCCGACCGATGGTCTCGCGTTAGCTGCCCGCGCAACCCAGCTGCTCATCGCCCGGACCCAGCAGGCCGGGGTCCGCTACCGAGGCTCAACGCTTGTTACAGGCATTGAACAGACAGGATCTCGTGTGACGGGAGTGAAAACCTCCCAGGGTGTTATTCCCGCTGATATCGTCATCTCCTGCGCCGGCTTTTGGGGCGTCGAAATCGGTGCCATGGCCGGCGTCTCCATCCCTCTCCTACCACTTGCCCACCAGTATGCGAAGACAACCACAGTCCCCGCTCTAGCGAACCGCGACGTCAACAACCGTCCAAATGGAATGAACGCGAGTATGCCCATCTTGCGGCATCAAGATCAAGATCTATACTACCGGGAGCATGGAGACCAGGTGGGAATTGGATACTATGGACACCGTCCAATGCCGGTGGTGGCTGCGAGCTTGGGTCAGACTCCGGAGCACGTTGACGAGAAGCATATGCCCTCGCGGCTTGAGTTCACGGCACAAGACTTTGCGCCCGCATGGACAGCCTCACAGGAGCTTCTGCCTGTTCTCCGTGATACGCAGTTGCAGGACGGATTCAACGGCATCTTCTCCTTCACCCCAGACGGAGGACCCCTCGTCGGACAAGCATCAAGCCTCGACGGTTTCTACGTAGCAGAAGCCGTCTGGGTCACTCACTCCGCAGGAGTCGCGCGAAGTATGGCGGAGATGCTTACAGACGGAGCATCCACCATCGACCTCACAGAGTGCGAGCTGTCTCGTTTTGAGGAAGTACAGCTGAGCCGCGACTACGTCAATGAGACCTCGCAACAGAACTTCGTCGAGATCTACGACATTCTCCATCCCCTACAACCGAGAGAGTCCCCCCGCCAACTCCGAGTAAGCCCCTTCTATGAGAAACAGCGGGCACTCGGTGCCTTCTTCCTCGAACTTGGCGGCTGGGAACGCCCATTCTGGTACGAAGCAAACGCACAGCTCCTCCACGCCCTCCCAGCACAATGGCAACCACCTCCCCGAGACACCTGGTCATCTCGATACACTTCCCCCATTACCGCCGTGGAAGCGTGGAAGACCCGGAACGCCGTCGCCATGTACGATTTAACCTCCTTCCACCGCGTACAAGTATCTGGACCCGGCGCAGCCACTTTCCTGCAGCGCCTAACCACAAGCGACATCACTGCCCCTCCCGGCGCCATCACACACACCCTTCTTCTCAACTCCCAGGGCAAAATCCGCAGCGACATCTTCGTCGCTCGCCTTGAACCCGACCTCTTCCAAATCGGCGCCAACACCGCAACCGATGTCGCCTACCTATCCGTCGAAGCCCGTCGTCAAGGACAACACACCACAGCCCAATGGGTCCAGGTCTCCGACATCACCGGCAACACCTGCTGCATCGGCCTCTGGGGTCCTCGCTCACGGGCCGTAATCCGCGCCGTATCCAACGACGACTTCTCCACCACCGCACTCCCCTACATGTCCGTCAAACGCGCCACTGTAGCCGGCATCCCCATAGCCGCTCTCCGCAAATCCTACGTCGGCGAACTCGGCTGGGAAATCCAAACAAGCGCCGAATACGGTTCCCGTCTGTGGGATATACTCTGGCAAGCTGGCAAACCACACGGTCTTATCGCCGCAGGCCGTAGCGCCATGAACTCCTTGCGGCTCGAGAAAGGAATCCGGACATACGGAGTAGACATGACGACGGAGCATGATCCGCTCGAAGCGGGAGTTGCACATCTTGTTGACCTCGAAAAGGAAGAAGAGTTTGTGGGCAAGGCCGCGCTTCAGAGTGCGGCGCAGCGGAAACAGCCTCCATTGAGACGGCTGCGGTGCTTGACTGTGGATGATGGTCATTCTATGGTTATGGGCAAGGAGCCTGTTCATTATGAGGGTAGGCCCGTGGGATATGTTACCACTGCGGTGTTTAGCTATACGACGAAGAAGCCCGCTGCGTATGCATGGCTGCCCGGGAGGGTTCGCGAGGGGGATGCAGTTGTTATTGAATATTTTGGGAGACAGATCAAGGCGACGGTGTCGGCGGACCCGTTGGTTGATCCGAGGGGCAGTAGGTTTCATCGGGAGGATACGGGTGAGGATGCGTTTGAGACGCCGTTGAAGAATCGTCTGTAGAGTTTGGGGATTAGCGATGCGCTATATTTGGCATAATGTGATGATGATAATGAAGTAAAGGAAGAGATAAAGGGTTGAATAAGTTATCATCTGTATATAATTCGTTCGTCTGCAGTAGATCAAGCCACCACTGGGTTTTGTCCGCAAAGTTGTCATTCTTCTATGTAGACTCCAGCAAGACAACCTACGAACCGCCTATCCAACGACAAGCAGCAACAGACAGAACCCGCCGACCCTATAACAGATTTTTCACACCATATTAACCAGCCTTCGACCAACCGTTCATCCTACACAATTCACACACCATTGACCACCTCGCCCCAACACATTCCTACCTGCATGTTTCTACTACCGACCGATCCTCAGATTCACCCCCTAAAGCTTTTCTATAGTACTTCAAATGCCCGAGAATGCTCGTTAAACGTGAATTATCCACACAGACGGTACAAGGTAAATCTATGATATCAAGACTTATACTAGTAGATCATTGGTAGAAAGATACCAATATTTCTGAGCATCAACAATATGTCACTTAATACTTAACAACTCATTATCATCATCACTATCATAATCGTCCAAATTACTGCTCACGGCATTGAATGCCTTCAATCCTATCGACCACCCCAAGCTCATTGAGATCGGGGTAATCGCCATGCATATGAAGTAGAATAGAATATTCGCAAGTCCAACCCCTTAGGAAATCATATCAGTACGCTTTTCGGCGGTTTGTAGAAAGAGAGGTGTTGGACGAAGAACGAATAGCTCCGATTCTATCTTCAGAAAGTCTACACGGACAATTTATAACAGTAGCAGTCGTGAATTGAACAAGTATTAAGGAACATTGCGGGATATGTCGTTACTGCCTCTCATACTAATGGTGTATTTCTTGGGTACTAGACCCGCACCCAACGCGGAGGCACTCGGTCTACCGTTTGGGATGACTAGGAGTAGATAGATAACATCTAATTGATAATGAATTAGCTACGGCCCTTCCCCTCCAATTTCAGAAGAACACTCTATCTACAAAGTAAAGCGGTGATCATCCTTGGGATGAAAAATTCCAATGCGGCACAAATGTTGTGTAACTCCAACATGCATTCTCATTCTTCACTTCCCCCACCCCTTTCCCCGGATTCCCCTGTGACTTTCTACCCGTCAAATACCCTCTTCCTGGGGATACATTCGCTCGTGCCCACCAGAGACATTGGATAGTCCAGGGCACAACCTGTCTTGGAAAAAATACCAGCCTGAGCGGCGGATAGGCAGTTGAATAGATTGGATGTACAGTTCGATGGATGAATTTACAGAACAGTGCCTCAGCTACGCCACAAGTGATATACTTATCCACATGCCTCATTCGAGAGTTATCCGCATTGACTGAATCATTTGAATCACAAGTCAGCCAGCCATCCGCTCTCCGCTCAGATGTGGAAGGTAAGGGCATCATATTTCCTGGACATATGCTACTGTCAAGGGCCAACTCCTTGCTGATACCCGCGGGACCTTATCGCTGATGATCACAACCAAACATGGCATATCATCTCCAATTGATCACCACGGGCGTCGGCCGCCTCCGTTTTTCCCCATATATACTAGTCTTCTTTCCTTGTGACTGGACTATACGCTCTTCTATCTGTACTGATACAGGATAGGTCACTCCACTATAACAACCACGAATGGCATCCATTTCTGAGAGTTCTATAACACTGAACGTAGACACATGAGACATCAGCAACAAAACGAGCGGAACCCGCTTCTGGCCGGCCGAGCTTAAACTCCACACCTACTTAGTACATATAGAGAACTCCATACAACGGCCAAAGCTACCAATTTCCCCCTTGACAATACCACTGATTGTAGTGAAACCTATGCTATTGGCTACTGATACCTAGGAATTCTGATGCACCCCGCATGATGCATAATGTTGGGGAAGTGTCTCCTGTCCTGTTGTGTCTAGCCATAGTGACGGTTTGCGTGGCGAAATGCCCAGCTATCCTCAAACTACCAAGCCCTTAGTTATCGAAAGGATTGCTTTCCTGCTCTTCTTTACGATCGTGATCAGCACGCAGAGTAAGCGCAAGGAGGGGAACAGCAAGCTCAGCCATATGTGACTCTTTGAGAGTATCCCAAGGACCATATTCATGCATCGTGAGAAATGATCGAGGACGTTCTGTATCTCGAAAGCCATGCTCAATGTATCTGAGGTATTCATCGTCATACTCGGCAAAGCTGAGCCAGATTTGATGTCTATCTTGCGAGACGTGAAAACGCCTGGAAATCCGAGTCAGTTTGAAAACACAATACAACATCATCATTAATGGCTGGCTTACCGGAATGGGAACTTCCCTGGTGCTTGGGGATGATTTTTGAGCCAAGCGACCATCTGCGCACCCTCCTGCATACAGATCTCAAATCGAGCATGTTTCCGAAGGGCTGCTTTTACTTCGATCAAAGCACGTACCTCACCATCGACTTTACCTCGAAGATATCCGTCCGTCCTTGCCTCATACTCAGCATCGTCGAACTTGGCTTTGAGCGGCTTCCGATGGATGGTCCAGGAGCTTCCAAGCGAAGGAAAATGGTCCGTGATAGCTTGAAGAAGGTTCACTAGAGCCATATTTACAATTTGCTCATCATCAACTGGGGGGTACATTTCGTTCATTATCTCCTCCGGCCCCAGAGAGCCTCCCGTTGAGGCGGACGCCGGCTCAGAGAAGACATCGTGGTTTCCCTCATTTCCTGGGGTTGCTGGTGCTGTTGCAGTAGTGTCATCATCGATAGTGAGCTTCTCAAAGGAAGGCGGGTTCAATCTACTCAGCGTCCTGTGAGGCTGTTCGCGTTGTTCGCGTCTTTCGCGAGTGCTTTGGCGCGTGCGCTTAGCAACCGGGGAGAAGATGACTTTGACGGAAACTTCGTCACTTTTGACCTTTGCTGCCTCAGCCTGCGAGTTCTTAACTAAGAAGAAGTTCCCTTCCTTAAGATTGCCCCTGAAGCTCTCGCGATAGGTGTCCCAGGAGGGATAAGAGCGAAGCATGTCCTCAGCCCGGTCCATCCACGGTTCTAAGCCAAGCCGCTTGGGATCCAGTTTAGTCCTGTATGACCCCTTGCGAAGAACACGAAGAAGCAAATACTGGCGCAATGTTATCTTCGAAGCACAAAACAACTCTTCCTCGTAAATGGATTGGTTAAGAACACCCTTCTTTTTCGCCATCTCAACCCACTGGGCGGCTGTTGCGGGGACATCTTGACGTTGTCTACTCATGACTTACAATATCAAACGCTATGGCTATTTGGCTAGATTATAGCGATGAATGTTGAGGTGTTTGTCGCCACGTCTGCTTCGAGTAGCCAGCAAAATATCGTTTGCGGCCTACCTATAAATATAAGAAATCGAGTAAAGTAGAGGAGGGATGAGAAGGAAGGCGCCTACAGGGACTGCTACTATTCCATGAGAGTTCCGATTTAAAGGAAACCACCAAGGCTGGCAGCTTTCACTACTAGCTGAGGTAATTGCCAGTGAAGGTCCTGCGCCGCAGCAGGGATCTAGTGAAGCAATCATAGCGGAATACTCCTTATCCGCCAGTGACAGGAAGAAGGCTGAAGCGACTCTCCGGGGGTCTGGAGACGATAGTTTGGAACCTCCCGGCTTAAATTGCGGGCGGTAGAAGGCCCCGGAACCGCCCTTTATCTGATCGACTTCCTCCTCCGTCATATCTGTTTTCTACCTACTTTACTCTTCTCCTTGCATCCATCCTTACTGCCTCCATGCCCCTTCTTCCCAAGCATCCTACATCGCCTCACCTACCGCCCACGCTCAATATTCTCAACTCCGCTAAAATGTTGGAGAGTAATGACCACCAAGTTCGTCGACACGCCATCAAGACCGTCGCGCGTGCCATCTGCGAACGTCGGGAAAATCGATACCAGCACAAAGACTTGGATAACCTCCACATTGAAATCCTACCTATGCCTCTGTCCGCTGATGGAGGCCCATTATTCGAGCCTGAATTTTTCTGGCCCTACGATAAGTCCCTCCCGGACCCGGATGAGGAGATAGTTCTCGCCCTCCAGTCCGCAGGATGTCTTGGATCCGATGGACGAGGCACACATTCTGAGCGACTATTTTGGGGAATATATTTCCTGCGCTACACTTTTCCACAAGTTTGACTGGCAACATAATCCTAGACAGTATGATCGATCCTCGTCTACTGGCAATGTCAATCTTACGACGTACAATTGACTGATTTTTCTCCAGGCCCAGTGACTTTCCATGTTCCCTCTGCGAGCTTGATATAGATAATCCCATTGAATGGTGCGTTGGTGGTATAACTGGCATTCCGGGTGGGCCTCGGATGAAGTGCTTCCTACTCGAGAGTGTTAACGCAGATGACGAACAGATTACCCGAGGGGAAATCCTATGTATGTGTCGAATTATGATCACTTGCCTCCGTTCCAGAAAGTATAGTGCCAATAAAGTCAGTCCGGTGAGTCTGTCATTCATTTCTTTCGTCTCATTTGAATAACTGTGGCTAACTTGCCCAAAAGGTGCTACTCATTTCCTTCGTGGGTCCAAGACATGCTCGCATTCTCCTGGGCCATCATGATGGCTCCAACCTGGTGATCCGTCAATCTTAACGCTTTGCATTCTGGGAACAGAACATCCCTGAGTTGAAGATTTTGCTGCGATGGTGGTGCTCGTCTGCGGTTGGGGATACCATCAATGGGTAGGAGAGGCTTAATACTCCCGGGATTCTGCCTCTCCTTGAAACCAGTTTTCTTCGTCGTATATGCGTTCATATGATCGGGTCGGTGTTTTTTTGGTCTGGGTTGGCGTAGCCAAGGAATTGGGCGGGCTTATGGCGTTTTAAGATGAGCAGTGTCTTGGTCGCCTTTCACATACAATAATGGCAACATATCACGATCTTATGCCTCTCGCGATGGTTTGGGGTTGGTGAGTACTGAAGAAGCCATGGCTTTAGAGGACGGTCCTGTTATCATTTGTCAATAGTGTTGAGACTACTATCTTACAATCACTCGAATAAACATATTCATGACATTGCGCTGCTTTCATCCTACTACAGTGGGATGTTCAAATATTTGCGTTAATCTGAATTATATACAAGCCATATTTGGTTCCGCATTCCGAATCTGGCTAGATTGAATCTATTCTGCCTACCAAAACAACGCGTATGAAGTCCCAGATTATGGAAACTTTATCAAAATATATAGATAGTAATATTATTTCTCTGTAATAACTGATATTTATATAAGCATCCATACAAAGTATCATGATAAAGGGCTTTATACGCGTTGTTTTGGTAGGCAGAATAAATTTAATCTAACCTGATTTGGAATGCGGAACCAAATATGGCTAGCGTATAATTCAGATTAACGCAAATATTTGACATCCCACTGTACCTTAGATGCCTGAGCTGATAAGAGTAGTGGCCGTTCTCCTGCTTCAGTTGTCACCTATGCGAAGACCTGATGAACACCACCCCGTATCATTCGTTGGGATATTGGAAGGTATCATTGTCAGGTATGGAAATGACCATGTAGAGTTGGATAATAGAGTAAACGAACCGACATAGACTTATCTTGGAATATATGGTATAGAGATCAGATGATGCCCCCATGAGTTGGTTTGTTACATACTATAATGATACCTCTTTATGGAGCGAGCATAGAAGAGAATAAACGTAGGGAACGTGGGCCTCATATGTGTCGCTGCTTTCCTTCCTTGCACTATACTTAAGAATATGATTGGTACATGCCGTACAAAACGTACTTCTATGATTGAAGCTATATTTTTCTGTACGAAGCAGTACTTTGTCCTTGGGGACTTCCACGTCTGGCGCATAAGCCCCGGATATATCAGTCAGCCCATTGGGGAACTCAGGTCACTGTTTGATTAGCTGTGAACCTCGAAACAACAAGAGGACGTTTTCAACTAGACCTATGACAGATTGAAACACTTTGATGTTGTCTTTTCAATTCAGGTCAAAGCTGTCGAATTTAAGTGTGGCTAGTCATATATCTCACTGGGCGCTTTCATTGTTACCACAAAGCACAGTCATAGTGCTACCAATAAAAGAGAACTTTTAGAAAAATTAATAAGGGGTAGAAATTCTTCGACGAGCTTCGAACAACATATATGTGGGGATCTCGAAATTAAAGGAAATAATACAATTCGGATGATCAATTAGAGACATCGAGTGACCTATGCAGGGAATTGTGGCGGTTAATCGTCCTAGGATATGAATGGAAGCTGAGAAAGGAAAAGTTGTAGAATAAGACCGGTGAAAATTGAGACGGTGACACAAATCATCTGCGGGACTAGATGGAATCAATGATGACAGGCCGGAAACTTTCACTCAGTCTGAAAATTCACTGGTCGTGTTCTACAGTGACTTGGGCTGTCACCACCACTATCCCTTGAATACATACGTTGTGTGTTCATTCACTCATGTAGTATGGTGGTTGGGGAGGGATAATTGACAAGGGATAGAAAGAGAAGAGAAGTGACGTCAAGGCGGAAGTTACTAGTTGAATGCGCAGTATACACCTATCGCAGTGGTCGTCTCCTAGTATTCCTACCTTAGCCCTAACATGAGAAGTCGCGGTACAAGGACGAATAAAGGTTCGTTCTATTTCATGTGTCGTCTACCAGTGTTGTGGGGCGTCTGCCCCGTGCACAAACAAGCAATGTCACCGAATGACTTTGACAGGAAATCAGATGCTCCGATCCATAGTGCCTTACTGCTGAACATGCCAGGGGCTTCTTTGAATGCGACGCCTGATACATATTTCCCCTACCAAAGTACCCACATATTTATTCCGCGGGGCATTTCCATAGGACCTGATAGGCCGACAGGCAACATCATCCACAAAGTAAATCCGGGCCGATGATCTTCTCCCAACCGAAAAGCTTCATTCATCTATCCAGGAATCGAATTTCCACCGCTTCTTTTTCCCCTCTTTCGTCACCGCAGCGATGTATATCCTATAGCACGAACCTTCCCGAAAAAATTTAACCAAATAATAGAAAAAGAAATACACGGGAATAAACAAAGAGAAAAAGAAATGGACATCTCTCAACTCTCCACCCAGCTCACCGAAGCACCAACCCACTTCCCAAATTGTTGTCTATCTATCTCCAGCACCCTGATAGCCCACTTAGCATGGCTCCTTCCTGAAAGGCCCGCGTTTGCCCTATCAATAGGCTGTGGATCCGGTCTCCTTGAAGCTCTAATACTACATAACCACCCCAGCGTCCACATCACCGGAATAGAAGTCTCCACGTCAGTCAACCGCTACCTTGCAGAAGAGGACTTCGACGTGGTCAGCGGGACTTGGGATCTGTATGCGCGTGCGCCGCAGGCGGCAGCATGGATGTTTGTTTACCCGCGTGAACCGAAGCTGGTTAGCAAGTATATCGAGCTGTATGGCGATGGACCTGAGTCGTCAGTGCAGATGATTCTGTGGTTAGGACCTCGCGCGGATTGGGCTGATTATGAGCCGTGCTTTCGCAATTCGTCTTTCTCGGACGTGTGTATCCCTGAGAATGTGGGGATGATGGAGTTCGAGATGTTGGCTGTTATGCGCAGGAGGTAGCGGTGTGTTTGATGTTCGAAGGAGAATCATTATCCAGCACCAGGGTATACATATGTTTAAGTCATCAGACAGGGCCGCGAGATAATCAAATTCCTGGCTGCTAGCAGATGGGTTAGGCGACAGGATCTGCGCAAGATGCAAGAGGTTCGCTGATCGCTACTACTACTACTACTACTACTACTACTACTACTACTACTCCTGCTGCTGCTGCTACCATCTGCTGTCCGGTCGGTCGTCCGAGGAATCTTAGCGACGTCATCATATTTCCAAGCCTTGATATACTATATGTCATTATCATATTCGGGACATGAAAGGCTTAAAAATCATGGCAATAGAAATAAGACTTCAGCAAGGCGATTCCAATTATTTTAGACTTCTTTCCTTAAGTATTTCAGCAAGTCATGAAAGGCTAGTAGCTATAATTTACATTCTATGTGGTTTTCTATTAGTAAAAGCCCCGATCACGCCGTTTCTCACGGTTTATACATGGATCTCTCCTACCATTCCCTTCTCCCTATCATGCATGATGCGGGATGTCCACGTCACTCGGCACACAATGCTACAACGACAGGCGGTGGCTTGCGTGAACCTTGCATGGGGTGTAGAGAGAGCTATGCAATGAGCGACTTCCGGTAGCCAATGAAAAGCAAGAGGTATATCGATCATCCTAGAGCTGAATTGTGGTGGGGGATGAAAGCAAGTGGTAATACGCACGATTATAAAGCAGAATAGAAGTAGGTATACCCCTTGGAAGTTCATCCTCAATTCCGCAACTATATTCCGTGGATCAAGGGAGGGTTTCAGATGTCCTCTGTAGTGGCCTTAGCGTCTACAATTGATAGTAGCCCCAATAAATTCGCATAACGTCATTTCTAGTCTTGGAATGCTTGCGTAACTTCGCTTCCTGCTTATACTACAATCGGTTCTATTTTCCCTCGATGATCATCCTAAGTTGATCACTATAGACCATGGATGAGATAGGCTTCCTACCTTGACGCAACCCATCACCATGGTGCCATTTTTATTGCAGATAGAAGAAGATACTACCTAGTCACTTATCGGCCTCAGCGAGGGAGATGTGGGACTGTCTGTCACACTACATTGCGGTCAATCCCAGCCTTGCGTAGCATAGGCAAGATCTGCAAAATACAGATTGTCTCGGAACTACAGCTTACATACTATTTTCCTAAGTATCTTGCCCTGCCCATAGGCTATAAGAGAGCTCAAACTCCCTGAGGGTAAGAAAAAATTCACCAAGCTCACCTTTCCATCTCATAATCTCTCGTCCTACTACATCACTCGTCTCCTCTCCATCAGACAACTCCGTCTACCGAATACCATCCGCCCATTATGAAGGTTTCCATCGTCCTTGTGCCCCTCCTTGCCGGGCTCGGAATGGCAGGCCCCATGCGCAAGAGAGACGAGCATGTTGCTGGTGTTACAGATGTTGCGAACAGCATCAATGGCGCTAAGAGCATCGACAGCATTGACAGCATCAATGTTGCTCGCAGTATTGATGCTACGGACAGCATCAACAGTATTGACAGCATCGACAGCATTAAGCGCAGGAGTATCGACAGCATTGACAGCATCAACGGAGCAAAGGTTACCGACAGCATCAATGGTGCCAAGAGCATCGACAGTATTGACAGCATCAATCGTGCTCGCAGTATCGACGTTGCGGACAGCATTGATAGCATCAACAGTATCAATGGAAGAAGTATTGACAGTATCAACGCTGCCAACAGTATTGATAGCATTGACAGTATCAACGGAAGAAGTATTGACAGTATCAATGCTGCCAACAGTATCGATAGCATTGACAGCATCAACGGAGTAAAGGTTACCGACAGCATCAATGGTGCCAAGAGCATCAACAGCATCGACAGCATCAATCGTGCTCGCAGTATCGACGTTACGGACAGCATTGATAGCATCAACAGTATCAATGGAAGAAGCATCGACAGTATCAACGCTGCCAACAGTATTGATAGTATTGATAGCATCGACAGCATCAACAGTATCAATGGAAGAAGCATCGACAGTATCAACGCTGCCAACAGTATCGATAGCATTGATAGCATCGACAGCATCAACGGTGCTAAGGTTGCTGACGCTGCCGACGGTGCCAACTAAGAGCATGAACGAGGCAAAATTCCTCTCTAATATGGCGGCCAGTCAATGCTATTCTCGTGGTAAGCTCCCACGGCCGAGATCAAATCCAGTGTCTACATACTTGACAATAGCATGCTAACAAAATTGACAGCAAAGGAAGGCCGCACTGACGGAGTCAGTGCATCTCAGCCAAGGCGCCAAATGATGGATGGATTTATTCAGAAGTGACAATTTTGGTCCTTACAGAGCCTTAGTTCCGACTGATCAAAATTGGTTCCTCTCGTTTTGATGAAATGATGATCTCCTTCAGGATACGGCTAGCCATCTACCAAATAATATGCAGTGATTAATGAAGATGAGCTAGTTCTATTGCTATATCCAGAGGCTCTAGCTTTTCTACTGAAGCTAACGAAGAAACCATCGACAGAGTTCTTGATATTAGATACTATATCTCACAAACGGACCGGGTCGTACTGTTGAGCTATATCCACGATCTGCTGTTCTAGGTACATGTAGATATGTCATGTAAATGCTCTATGTAACGACCATATGGATAATTGGGGCATAGGAAATGCATGATTTTGGGCCGACATATATTAGTTGATTGGCTGTGATCATGCTGGCATCCTCCCATTCTCAAAATTTCTATTAACTGCACTATTACAGTAACTAGCTTAGCGATTAAACGGACTAGCCAATTAGCTAGCCTGCTATTCACACACTAAAATACGAACAACCCACACCACTTCGAGCGTGAGCACTATCTACTGCTTCGTACTGGCTACCTGTGCGCCTTGGAATAAGCACTATACAGTAAGCAACAATGAGTTGGCCAGCCACGAAACGTTGCTTACACTATAAAATCCCACTCCCCATTCATGTTCTATTGCATTCGAGAAACTATTCTTCGTTTGATTCCATATGTGAAGCCTGAGTTGCAACCATGAGCACATCTCACTTTCGAGTTATCGAGCACAACGTTCGATGTCCCTCTCGCCGGGAATATCACCATGGAGTCAAAAGTGGTCAAAATCTACAATTAGCAATTAAACAATATGTTCCTCTCAATAATCCCCATCCTGCACCGGATGATATTACAATTATCGCGGGACATGCAAATGGGATTCCCAAGGTCAGGAGGCGTGCTATCAAAATACTAGACCGAAATCTACATGCTGGACAAAGCATACTAATACTCTTACAGGAGTGCTACGAGCCTCTATGGGATGACCTTCTTGCAACGAGCAAGGTAAAGATCAAGGCCATTTGGTTCGCAGACTGCGCAAATCAAGGCGCCAGTGGAGTCTTGAATGAAGATAAACTGGGCGATGACCGTGAGTCACTGGCACTGTTCTCGAAACTTTTAACCAGTCTGATGATTCTCTCCTAGCAAATTGGTTCGACCATTCCCGAGACCTCCTCTCAATGGTCACTCATCTTCAAGACCAAACCCAACCTCCAATTGTAGGAGTAGCACACAGTTTCAGCTGCTCGTCATTGTACGCATCCCACCCACTACCTCCAGCACCTTTCCTTTTACTTCCCTACTACCAAAGAATGACCGTCTGACCAACCATCCAGCGTCCACTTATCCCTCATTCACCCCCGTCTCTTCCACACCCTCATCTTCCTCGAGCCCATGATCCAAACCGAAAGCCCCAGCAAGCCAGGTGGCCGCAGCCCTGCCCTCTGGGCCAGCACCCGCCCCGACCTCTGGCCATCCCAGTCCGAAGCTGAAAAGCACATCCGGAGTAACCCATTCTGGCGCAGATGGGATTCCCGTGCGGTCGCAAAATACATTGAACATGGTCTCCGGCCTGTTCCGACGGCTTTGTACCCGTTTGATCCTCAGTCCTCTAACGGAGAGATGTCAAGCGCAAAGGTGACACCAAACTCAGTGACATTGACGACAACCAAAGCTCAAGAAGCATGGACATATCTGCGCTTTAACGTCACGCCATATGAAGGTACTACTAATAAGGATATGAGTAGTGATAGTGCTGAGCGCTTCCTCAGCCCTGACCTAGCTGCATCAGCCAAAGAAGGCTCCAACAACCACCCCAGCTATGTAGCGACCTGTCCGTGGACAAGTATCGCGTTCGAGTTCTTGCCTTATATTCGGCCATCAGTTCTATTTGTTTGGGGCGAGAAGAGTCATATCAATACCCCCGGTGCACGCAGAGATGATAAACTGTTACGTGTTGGCACTGGGCTTGGAGGTAGTGGGGGTGTTCGGGCAGGGATGGTTCGGGATGAGGTTGTGAAAGGGGCATCGCATACGGCTCCCCTTGAAGAGGTGGGTGAGACGGCAAGAGTGGTTTCAGACTGGTTGGTAGAGCAGGGGAAAAGGTATATGGAGGAGAAGAAGTTTTGGGAGGAGTATGATAGCCAGAAGTCGGAGAGGGGTGGGTTGGCATTGTCGGAAAAATGGATGGAGCATATCAAGTTGCCGGTTGATACGAAGCGAGAGAGGAAGGGGAGTCGACTGTAGATACTCAGTGGTGCTACTGGTAGGTGTATGCCATGTCGAAGATATATTATTCCATCATACTGTTCGGAGCGAAGCGATTTCGAAGTATCTCCGTAGGAGTGATATGCTAGTCAAGGACATATTTATTGATATGCGCTTGTATTGGGTCACAATAACACGGTTTGAAGAGTTATACCAAAGACCCATTACCGCCATATTTACATTGGCCTTAGTAGCAGAAAGACCAGCTTAACACCATAGTAATATAGGCTGTGTGATGATAGCAGCATTCTACGGAGTACTCCGAGAACACTCCGATATAGTGTGATACGGAAAGATAAAGCCGCCACTTACGCATAAGTGGTCGGTGCGCATCACGTGCATCCCCGCGGATGGGGCTAGACTAGCGGGAATCCTCCGATCACGGCGTCCGTTAAGCGGATGTTTTTCTCCAGCCAGCAGGAACTCTCTTTCTTACATCCCCTTTAGCAAGGTATTCACAATGGCTGCTGCTGCTAGGACGCTTCGCATAGGTCAATTGCTCCTCTATGTCTCTTAATATTTCTCTGCGCCCGTCTAGTTGCTGACATCTTCCCTCATGCAGGTCTCATCCCCGGTGACGGCATCGGCCGAGAGGTCATTCCGGTGAGTCACCCCAGCAAATAGCTCACTTTAGAAACACCAATTCTAATGAAACTTTCTTCATCAGGCCGGCCGGAAGGTTCTGGAGTCTCTCCCCTCTTCCTTGAACCTCAAGTTCAGCTTCGTCGACCTCGATGCGGGTTTCGACACCTTCAAGCGCACCGGTAGCGCTCTCCCCGATAAGACGGTCGAGATCCTCAAGAAGGAGTGTGATGGTGCTCTGTTCGGAGCTGTCAGGTGAGTGCTACATCGTTGTCCTCGTCATCGTCTACCACTCAATCACCTTCTAACCAATTCCTCCACAGCTCCCCCAGCACCAAGGTCGCCGGCTACTCCTCCCCCATCGTCGCCCTCCGCAAGAAGCTCGACCTGTACGCCAACGTCCGCCCCGTCAAGACCACCGCCGGCAGCACCGACGGCAAGCCCATTGACCTGGTGATCGTGCGCGAGAACACTGAGGATCTCTACGTCAAGGAGGAGCAGACCAAGGACACCCCCAATGGCAAGGTTGCCGAGGCTATCAAGCGTATCTCCGAGAACGCTTCTTCCCGCATCTCCACCATTGCCGGTGAAATCGCCCTCCGCCGCCAGAAGATCCGCAGTGTTGCTGGTATCGCTGGTCTCCGCACCGAGCCCATGGTGACCATCACCCACAAGTCCAACGTTCTTTCCCAGACCGACGGTCTCTTCCGTGAGACCGCCCGCAAGGCCCTCTCCGCCGACCGCTTCTCCTCCGTCCAAGTTGAGGAGCAGATTGTCGACTCCATGGTTTACAAGCTCTTCCGTCAGCCCGAGTACTACGATGTTATTGTCGCCCCCAACTTGTACGGTGACATTCTGTCGGATGGTGCCGCTGCCCTGGTTGGCAGTCTGGGACTGGTTCCTAGCGCTAACGTTGGTGATGGCTTCGCTATCGGTGAGCCCTGCCACGGCAGTGCCCCCGACATTGAGGGCAAGGGTATTGCCAACCCCATTGCCACTCTGCGCAGTGTTGCCCTGATGCTGGAGTTCTTGGGCGAGGAGACCGCCGCTGCCAAGATCTACACTGCTGTTGATGCCAACCTCGATGAGGCCAAGTTCCTTTCTCCTGACATGGGTGGTAAGGCTACTACCCAGGAGGTTCTGGATGATGTCCTGAAGAGGCTGTAAAGGGTTCTTGGAAATGACTCTTGATGTATAAATAGCGAGATAAAACAAAATAAGCTTCTAGAGGGAATATGTTGTCAACTTCCTGCTAAAAATGGAGGGGTATGTGGTAGTAGATTACTATGATGCGTATCTCACTAAACTACGGGAGGCTTAAGACGGTAAGATGCCATTGTCTAACATCTCTGATTCCGTGAGCAGGTAATAGACAAGAGGCAGTCTAGATTTAGGATTCCCAACACAAGAAACACAGCAAGGTGAACAAAGGTGGACAAATACCAAAGCGACACATATTTGACTGGCTGATCGCAGATGCAGTGACACGTATTGAGCCATTTGTCTGAAGGAATCTGACAGATCGTTAATTGTCATCACAGCCGATGGAGTACTCCAAAAGGAGGATTTTTACATACGATGTACTACTAAAGGCTTCGGGGAATTCTTTACCTCCTAACAAATCACTCTGTCCTACAAAGATACGCTCAGCTTCAGCCACCGCGACCAATATTTCAAGTTCCCAATCGGGTATGGGCGGTCGCGGCTCGTCAGCTGAACTCCTGGACAAACACTCCTTTGCTTTTTAGTCTAGTCTACCTCCTGGTTCGTTTCACCCGGCTCATCCTCGTGTCTCGTGCTGAACACTCCCCAGCCTCACGCTTGTGGATGTGGGTCAGCGGAGATCGAACATCAAGTCTGTTGTTCCTGGCAGCGTTTGCCCACCAGATCTACCTGCTAAGACCGATCTAAAATAACTAGTTAATCA